AGTTTACAGAGCAGATTCCTTTTCCTTACAACAGTTCATACACATTTTGTTTGATAACATTGACTGGAATTCCCCCCAGTGTACCCGCTCTCTTCCCACTTCTTCCCCATAGTTCCCTCTTCCCTGTGTCCTTCCCTCCCATGCTCTCCCGACCCCCGAGCTGTCTCCCTGTTGCCCTGTGCTTTCCTAGGCCCTGTGCTCACCTTCTCCAAGCTGGATCCTACTGTCAGGTGTGGCCTCGTTTGTGCACAACTGATAACTCCTTTTCTATCTTATCCACTCAGTGCCCTTTATGGATTGGTCACACCTGGCAGGGACTCGTTTTTCGGGTAACATCATCACTTCTCCCCTGTGTGTTTCACTCTAATTCAAGCCACATGCTGTTCAGTTTCCAGCAAGTTCCCTGAATGCGATGCGCCCATGGACCCAGACCCTGCCCCCGATTCCTCTCTGGCTGCCCTCCCGCTTCTCCTGTTAGAGCCCTGCGTTTGCAGCTGGTGAGTGGATGGACATTTTCCCCAGGAGGCGGTCACTCCTAATTGGTGGGCAGCTGCATTGGGGCTGGAACTATGAGAATTTTGTCCAGATCCTGATTCTGATGTTTCCTGGCTCCCTTGACATCTCCTTAACTTTTATTACCTTTTTCTGTCTCCATGAAAGGAACACAGAGGGTGACAGAACTGAGTTTTTGGAAAGTAGGGGACATGTGAAAATGAATAATTATCAAAAGGAATATTCTTCCTTCAACAGGTGGCCCTGTCACTTCCTGGTCTCCTAGCGTTCAAGGAGATAGGACCATCTCAGGGCACTGGATTGTCAGTTCATTTGTGCAGGTCCTTGGTTCCCCCGTGGCTGGGAGGGGCTAATGGAAACACTGCCTTCCTGCACTGCCTCCCAGTTGTTCAGCAGCGGCCTGGCTTCCCCCAGTGCTTTCTGTGTGTTGACTGTTGTGGTGGGTCTTATGGAAAGAGGTGAAATTGTTCACAAGGATGTGATGAACTGAATGAGACCATCTCTCTAATTACTGGTCTGTTTTCTGACTATTCTCGACCATCAGTGGAGAGGAAGGAGACTGCCGTTGAGCAGTGGTGGGGTGATGTTAGTGTGTTGAAAGTGTGGCAGACAGGAAGCACTCAGTGAGGAAGAGAAAGGAGTTAGCGAAGGGATGTGGCTGATGGCTGTGCTTCATGCTTCAGCTTGATGGAAAACAGGACGTTGTTTCAAGTCCCTGTGAATGTTTACTTCTCCGTCAGCCTCACTCTTTGTTCTTGGACACAGTGGAGTCCTTGGTACCTTCCTGATCCAGAATGTGTTGGCTGTTTTAGGACTCAGTGGTCATGGAGGATGTGGCTGTAGTCTTTACCCAGGAAGAGTGGGCTTTGCTGAATTTTGCTCAGAGGAAACTCTACAGAGATGTCATGATGGAAACCTGGACAAACCTGGCCTTTGTGGGTAAGAATGGCAATATATTTTTTTGGTAGAGGAATGAGAATACATTTTTGGATAAAACAGTTACGGTCCCTTGGTCTGTGGAGCTAGCATATCCTGGCTTCCGCATGAACATAAAAAATCAAATAAAAAAGTAACGACTGTCAAGTCGATTCCATGATTCCAACACATAGCAACCCCCACTGGACTTCAAGGTGCTAAATCTTTATGGAATTAGATTGCCCCATGTTCTTCCTGCAGAGTGGCTGGTGGGTTTGAATCACCAGCCTTCTGATTAGCCGTTAAATTCCTTTTCCAGTATGCCACCCAAAAAAAAAACCAACTCACTGTTATCGAGTTGATTCCTAGTAATAGTGACCCCTTCTTGGATTTCTGAGGTGCTGTCTCTGTGGAAGCAGATTGCCCAATCTTCCTTCTGAGGACTGACAAGTGAGTTTGAACCTCCAGGCTTCTTGCTAGCAGTCAAATACTTAGGCATGGCGCCACCAGAGCTCCTAATTAACAAAAAGCTCTGTGCATTCAAGTGAAGTTTTTATTTCTCTTGTGATTAAAAGTCCAGAGGCTCTGTAAGTATTGTCAGGACAAGCTTTGGCTATGGGGGTCACAGTGCAACACTGAGATTTGTGATTTGGGACCTTATAGTGAGTTTCACTGTATTAACTACATGTTTTACTTAATGACTTTGCTGCAAATAAACTCACTCTGTCTATCTTCAGACAACCTGAAGGGCAGATTGTTGTCTCACAACTAGGAAATACTCATGGCTCTTCATAGTCTTCCCTCATGAGACACATTTCTCC